TTGTCTTCAGCGATCGTTTCATGGAGGTTAGCACACAATGATGTTCTTTGATGCCTGATAACTGATCCCTTCGACAGCTCATGATCACACAGGCTGGTGTGCTTCTTCCATGTGGGCTTTGTTGCTTCTGAGCTAGATGGCCACTTGTTTACCTACTATTTCTGTTCTTGTTGCCGGTGGTGGTGCCCCAGAGAGGTTAGCGCACTGCTCTGAGGCTACACAGGAATGCGGTTACACTAACAGTGGCATATCCTTCCTGTAACCGGATATCTCCCTGCTGCACACACAGTAAAGTCCTTTTCTTGCATTTGGGTCCTCAGGTACTGCCTCAGGACCTGGGGAAGGAGGGTGGCCACCAAGACAAAGAGCAGCCACTCTGCCCAGTGTCCCCTGCTGCCCCGGGCCCTCAGAGTCACAGCCTCTGCAGGGACAAGAGGGGCGGTCCCTTTGTGGTGAGTGAGCAACCTGGCTGAGTGGGACCGTTGGGGTGGTAGACTGCGAGCCCTGCTGATAGCTGGGAGTGTGGCCGTTGGGTGGGGGTTTGTAGTGGCCAGGGCAAGGGTTGAAGACAGTGGGCAGATGGCCCTCCAGTGTGCCTTTGTCTCTGCTGTGATTTGGGGGACCCAGTTGCCAAGTGCAGAGCACTTCAGAGAACAGGGCCTGGGGTCTGACAATCCTGAGTTCAAGGCTGCATTGCTGAGCTTTCTGGCTGGGAAAGTGGATGTGATTCCAATAGTTCCTTATTGCTATTTCAAGGGCAAAAAGAGATGGTGTGTGTGGCCAGCCCAGTGCGTTTGCAAAACTATCATTGGAGTCAGGATGGGAAGCAGTGAATCCTAGTTCTGGAAGCCAGATCCCATGGGCTCACGCCCTCACCAGGAGCTTGGGTGGGGCTATGGCTGCCTTTTCTCCGTATGTAGAATGGACACAATAGTTATAGCTGCTTTCTGGCCCTGATTTGGTCAGACCCACCTCACTTTAATAAGTGTTTTTTTTTTTCCTGTTCCCATTATTCATTTCTTTCTTTCTTTTAATCTTTGTATTGGGGGCTCATACAACTCTTATCACAATCCTACACACATCAATTGTAGAAAGCACATTTGTACATTCGTTACTTCATCGTTCTCAGAACATTCTTGTTATTCTTCTTACTCTTTTTCCTTTTAAGTCTGTTTGGCTAGTCATTACCGATGCACCCTCGTGCTGGCGCTCCGGAGTAAGCCAATTTACCCGCTTGTGGAAGGAGGGGGTACATAAGACAGCATTACACAGGGAACTGGCCTTCTCTGGAAGCCTCAGTTTACTCAAGGGGGTGCCAGTCTCCTAGCCCCCCACCAGGCACCTCCGACTTTCTGTAAATGATTTTGCTGTGGTAACACAGACTCTCTGCACTCACCTCCTAACTTAACTTGGGAGAAAGATGAGGCAGTCTGCTTCCGGAAAGAAGCATGGCCCCAGAAACCCTCGGGCGCTGTTCTTCTCCACCCTAGAGGGTCTCCGAGGGTCTTCATCCACTTGATGGCAGTGTCCAAAAGCTGGGCAGTTTGAACCCTCCCAGCAGTGATAGCGGAAGAAAGGCCTGGTGACGGGTTTCTATAAAGTCGGTAACCAGGAAGATGGCCAACAAAATGGAGCCGTTGGATTCCGTACCACG